TGGGGGTTGGAGGGTATGTTGTGTATCTTTATAGTTAGCTTCAAGCTGTTGTATTTTTTGGGCCCTCTGCAAAAACAGTGATTTTTTTTGAGTGAGGGAAAGGGTTGAATGATGATGAAAGTATTTTCTTTTTTTTGGGGTTTTCTTTCTTTTTGGGTCACCCCGTCTTGGTGGGAACAACCGACTTGTTTAAAAAAAAAAAAAAAACTGCAACATCCCCATTCTTTCTTCGGAGTGTAGAAAAGTACTTCCTACCCCCTGGACTCAAGTTGCCTATCCCTTTATATGAACACCCCCCATGAAAATTTTCCCGCTTGACCCAAAAGATCATACCTATAACCCCTTGTCAAAAAAAAGTGATTTTTTTTATTTTTATCATTGAAAAAAAATTTCCAAAATTTTTTTAATATTTTAAAAAACTTGACCATTGTAAGGTTTAGTTTACGATCATGTAATTTCCAAACCAAGAAGGAAAGAAGAAAAACAGCTAAAGTAGTTTTTTCTTATAGCAGTTTTCAGATTGTAGAAGAAAGGTTCAGAGAACCCACAAGTTTATAAATTAGAAATGGCAAAACCCCGGGTATCTTTTTGGGAAACGTTTCGTCACACAGTGGCTTCATTAGTCCATTCTCCTTTGTATGGACTGATGAAGCCACTGTGTGGCGAAATGTTTCCTCATTAAAGATACCCAAGTGTTGCACGTGTGTCTAATTTATCAGTTCTCAGATTGACCACTTGACACTGATTTCCTAATAATCACATAACTGGTTATCAAGCACCCACTCTATGTCTAGTTTCTCATTTGCTTCTTTATACAACCCATGAAATAAGTGATGTATACACCTACCATCCGACTTACGACCTGCTCGACATACATCCACTCGACTTACGACCGTGCATCTGGCAGCTGGGCTGGGCCGGCTGATGCACACCACTGTACAATATTTGACAATACTCGCGGGGGCAATGTGTCATGCAGGCAGCATCAGTTTGAGTAACCCTGTCCTATCAGCAGCATCATACTGTATTAACTGTACTAACTGGACAGTAAATTTCACCATGGCCCCTAAGATGAAGTCTGAATCTTGCACTGGAGATTGTGGCAAGAAAGGCTCTTACTCTCGAACTCTCTATTTGTTTTCACTGTTGCATATAAACCTGCCTGTATCTGTCTGCCTGTATCTCTGTGTGTCTGTTTGTCTGTCTACTAGTGTGTCTATCTTTCTGTCTACCTGTGTGTCTGTCTTTATGTGTGTCTTTCTGTCTACCTGTGTCTGCCTTTCTGTCTACCTGTGTCTGTCTTTATGTCTACCTGTGTCTGTCTTTATGTCTACCTGTGTCTGTCTGTGTCTACCTGTGTGTCTTTCTGTCTGTCTACCTGTGTGTCTGTCTTTCTGGCTACCTGTGTGTCTGTCTTTCTGTCTACCTGTGTGTCTGTCTTTGTCTGCTTGTCTGTCTCAGAGCCACTCATTAAGAGTATACTTGGTCTTGAAGATGCCATATTAATAATGATAATAACAATAATAATCACTGAGGCGCATTAAATGTGTATAAAACGTTGATATAGACATTTTGCTTAATCCATCTATGATTTTTTTTTCAAAATTATATAATAAACATGCTACATAACATATAAATTAACAAATATGAGATGTTTTTCTGGGCGGCTTGACAGTGAACAGGAACTGTTCGTGTTGGGGCTGGTAACAACAACAACAACAACAACAACAACAATGTTTGTTTGCATAACTTGTGAACATTCTACATTCTCATTCTCTCTCTCATTTATTCATTTAATCTTGTTTACTCACCTCTCACTCTACATTAAAACTAGATATTTTAAGGTAAGTAATGAGTGGACACGATTATTATATTATAGCTTAATAATAATAATATTAATATTAGTACATACATATTATTATAAAGTTTTTTCTTCTTCTCTTTTTTAGTAAATGTATACAGGAGAAGGGGTTACTAGCCCATTGCTCCCGGCATTTTAGTCGCCTCATACGACACGCATGGCTTACGGAGGAAAGATTCTTTTCCACTTCCCCATGGACAATAGAAGAAATAAAAAAGAACAAGGGCTATTTAGAATAAGGAGAAAAACCTAGATGTATGTATATATATATATATGCATGTGCGTGTCTGTGAAGTGTGACCAAAGTGTAAGTAGGAGTAGCAAGATATCCCTGTTATCTAGCGTGTTTATGAGACAGAGTGCCTGCACTCTGAAGGAGGGGTGTTAATGTTGCAGTTTAAAAACTGTAGTGTAAAGCACCCTTCTGGCAAGACAGTGATGGAGTGAATGATGGTGAAAGTTTTTCTTTTTCGGGCCACCCTGCCTTGGTGGGAATCGGCCAGTGTGATAATAAAAAAAAAAAAATATTATTATAATAATAATGATAATATTATTATTAATTTAGGGCACTGGAGCACAGATCCACTGTATAGCACTTTGTCTGGATTTTTTTGGGTTATCCTAGGTAATTTATAATATGTATGATAACTTGACTTACATGTACCAGTGGAGAGAGAGAGAGAGAGAGAGAGAGAGAGAGAGAGAGAGAAGAGAGAGAGAGAGAGTAGAGAGAGAGATACAGAGAGAGAGAGAGAGATACAGAGAGAGAGAGAGATACAGAGAGAGAGAGAGAGAGATACAGAGAGAGAGAGAGAGAGATACAGAGAGAGGAGAGAGATACAGAGAGAGAGAGAGAGAGATACAGAGAGAGAGAGAGAGATATACAGAGAGAGAGAGAGAGATACAGAGAGAGAGAGAGAGATACAGAGAGAGAGAGAGAGATACAGAGAGAGAGAGAGAGAGAGAGATACAGAGGAGAGAGAGAGAGAGAGATACAGAGAGAGAGAGAGAGAGATACAGAGAGAGGAGAAAAGAGAAGATACAGAGAGAGAGAGAGAGATACAGAGAGAGGAGAGAAGATACAGAGAGAGAGAGAGATACAGAGAGAGAGAGAGAGAGAAGATACAGAGAGAGAGATACAGAGAGAGAGAGAGAGAGATACAGAGAGAGAGAGATACGGAGAGAGAGATCGAGAGAGATACGAGAGAGGTACAGAGAGAGAGATACAGAGAGACAGCCACATTCGGTCAGCCAGTCAGCCAACTACCCACCCACCCATCCCAGCCACCCACCCATCATCCAGCCACCCACCCACCCATCCAGCCACCCACCCACCATCCAGCCACCCACCCACCCATCTAGCCACCACCCACCCATCCAGCCACCCACCCACCCATCCAGCCACCCACCCATCCACCCACCCATCCAGCCACCCACCCGGCCAACCACAGACCCGGCCACCCAGCCAGCCAGCCGGATACGTATTACACATGTTCCAGAGTTGTTTCTCTTTACTTCAGGTATAGGTTATACAACATTCTGGCAGGATGACACTACCAGTGGTATTCTCCCATTCCACTGTGTCGACAATACATAGAGATAATAGTAACATATGATACTGTATGCGATGTAAAATTTACAATACATATCACTACCATGTATACATTACATACAGTACATAAATAATTAAAATACAATAGAAGTAAATTATGGTAAAAAGAATGAAATAATGATTGTACATTACATTACAGTATTATGTAGGTAGTTTATATAGGAAAGTTTTGACATTATGCCCTACCCAATATGTCGGCAATTTTCAAAGGTTCGACTTACGTCCATTTCGACTTACGGCCGGTTGGTTGGAACCAAGCTTGGTCGTAAGTCGGATGGTAGGTGTATACAGTAGCTATTTTCTATACCTGAAGAGAAGCAGTAGTCATAACTTAACCTGTCCAAATGTAGATCTACGTTTTTTCAACATTTGAAAGTATGTAAAAAAAGTAGATCTTCTTTTCTTTTTTTACATTTGAAAACGTGTAAAAAAAAAACAATGATCTACGTTTTTTTTTTGTTATACGTATTTGAAAATATGTAAAAAAAATGCAGATCTACTTTTGGAGCACTACGCATGTGAACATAGATCTGCTTGGACAGTTTAAAGGTTAAAAAGAACCAAAGTTAAAAAGGTGACACACTTTTTATAGAACTAACAACTTTATTCCCAGGTTTTGAATTATTTTTTCTACTTTACCCTTCCTCATATAAAATTAAAAGAATGTACCTTTAGTTACAGAATGGGTGAAAAACAAAAGTTTGAAAGAAATAAGGAACCTGCACACACACACACACACACACACACACACACACACACACACACACACACACACACAAACACAAACACACACACACACACACACACATAAACATACACACACACACACACACACACACACACATACACATAAACATACACACACACACACACACACACACACACACACACATACATACACATAAACATACACACACACACACACACACACACATACATACACATAAACATACACACACACACACACCACACACACACACACACACACAACACACACACACACACCACAACACACACACACAGAGCTCGGACTCGACCCCCGCAACCTCAACTAGGTGAGTACACACACACACACACACACACACACACACACAGGAGCTCGGACTCGACCCCGCAACCTCAACTAGGTGAGTACACACACACACACACACACACACACACACACACACGTGTAACAGACCGCAACAAGCAGCTATATATTAATGGTATATTAGGAAACAAAAACTCTTTAAAATAAAAAGTATATATATATTTTTTTTCAACAAGTCGGCCGTCTCCCACCGAGGCAGGGTGACCCAAAAAGAAAGGAAATACCCAAAGAGAAAATACTTTCATCATTCAACACTTTCACCTCACTCACACATAATCACTGTTTTTGTAGAGGTGCCCAGAATACAACAGTTTAGAAGTATATATGTATAAAAATACACAATATATCCCTCCAAACTGCCAATATCTCAAACCCCTCCTTCAGAGTGCAGGTATTGTACTTCCCATTATTAACATCAATGCTTCATAAATAAATACCTGTGGATGACACCAAAGGTTCTTCCTTATTACGGGAACTTTTTCTGGACGGCGTTCTTACGTCTACACTCACTGATGCAGTAAATGCATCTGCGAACAATGGCATCACAGTATTATTACCTGAGGAAATAAAAACATCTATGTTAGTGTACAAAACTTCATTCATTTTCACTTTGAGTATATTTTCTAAACAGCTGAAAGACTAAAGATTAGTTATCTGTCAACCACTGGTGACTGCTAAGGAGTCATCTCCACGGTTTCTACAAGTTTGCTGATGGATATGACACATCTGAAACACTTGGGCAAATGTATCTTATTCATCAACAAGTGGGCAAATGTATCTTATTCATCAACAAGTGGGCAAATGTATCTTGTTCATCAACCAGTGGGCAAATGTATCTTATTCATCAATACTTGGGTCCTAGTGTTGGATATGTGTCCTATCCATCAACTTGGCTCTATTGTACACTTCTTCTTTCAACAAACCAGCTGTATCCCACCAAAGCAGGATGGCCCAAAAAGAAAAACAAAAATTTCTCACTTAAAATTAGTAATGTATACAGGAGAAGGGGTTACTTGCCCCTTCTTCCCGGTATTTTAGTTGCCTCTTATGACACACACAGCTCACGGAGGAAGAATTTTGTTCCACTTTCCCATGGAGATCAGAAGAAATAAACAAGAACAAGAACTAGTAAGAAAATAAAAGAAAACTAAGAGGGGTGTGTATGTATATGCTTGCACATGCATGAGTAGTGCGACCTAATTGTCAGTAGAAGTAGCAAGACGTACCTGAAATCTTGCATGCTCACGAGACAGAAAAAAGACACCAGCAATCCTACCATCATGTAAAACAATTACAGGCTTCTGTTTTACACTCGCCTGGCAGGAGGGTAGTACCTCTGTGGGTGGTTGCTGTCTACCAACCTATTACCTAGGTGTATTGTATTTTTTTTTTTTTTCAACAAACCGGCTGTATCCCACCAAGGCAGGGTGGCCCAAAAAGAAAAATGAAAGTTTCTCTTTTTAAATTTAGTAATTTATACGGGGAAGGGTTCCAGCCCTTCTCCGGCATTTTATCCCTCTTACAACACGCATAGTTTAAAGGGGGAAAGAATTCTATTCCATTTCCCCATGGAGATAAGGGGAAAAAACAAGAACAAAACAGAAAGAAAAAGAAGAAAACCCAGGGGGGTGTTTATAATGCTTTACATGTATGACAGGGGCCCCAATGTAAGTAAAGTACAAGACGTACCGAAATCTTGCATTTTAGAACAAAAAAAATGGACCCCAGCAATCCTACCATCATGTAAAACAATTTAAAGGCTTCTTTTTTACACCACCTGCAGAATGGTAGTACCCGTGGGGGGTTTTGCTGTCTACCAACCTATTACCTAGGTCATTGTATACCATCAATAAAAATAAAAAATTGTTCTCAAAATCCCACAATTTTCAGTTTTTTAACTCAAAGCTATTCCACCTAGTATAGCAATGGAAATTTTAAAACCTCATTTACAAGTGGTTTTCCCCAAAAGGTTTCTTTAAAACAACCAAGCATGAAACCTCCAGCTTCCAAAACACAAGTTTGTTACCAAGTTCCTTACCTCCCCCACAGACATTACCTGACTCCACACAACAGCACAAAAAAAAATTGTCTTTTCACTAACATTCCAAAAAGGGCCTACAAAATATTCAACTATTTTTGCCTCTCATTAACACCCCACACCCCATCCAACCCTCCAGGCCCCCCTACATTTCCTTTCACCCCCAAAAGTTTGTGCTTTCCTTTATGCCACCCCATCTTCACAATCCCCACCCCTCGAAAGGCTGGGGCATCTGAAATGTATACATGTCCCTTTTCAACAGAGTGATGGAGTGAGTAATATTTGTTTCTTCTTTTTTCATTACCTTGTCTTGGGGGAGTGTAAATAAAAAAAAAAAAAGAAGACTTTTCACTTTACAATCTTGTCCCCATTTTCACATTTATTATTCTTTTTCTCATACAGAAGCACATCACACTTTTCTCGGGGAAAACCCCCTTGCTTGGGAACTCAAGTTCCGGGGAAGACACCTTTCTGCACATTTAAATCCGGGGAAACACCTTTCTGCAACATTCAGTCTCGGTAAGACACCTTTCGCAAAAATCCAAACTCAGGTAAGACACCTTGCTGCAACATTCAAGTCTCGGTAAGACACCTTGCCCGCAACCCAAATCTCGGGGAAACACCTGCTGCAACTCCAAGTATCAGGAAAAAAAACCTTTCTGCAAAATCAGTCTCAGGTAAGACACCTTGCTGCAACATTCAAGCCAGAAGACCCTTCTGCAACACCAATCTCGGTAAGACACCTTTTCTGCAACATCAAGCTCGGGAAGACACCTCGTGCAAAATCCAAATCCGGTAAACACCTTGCTGCAAAAATTAGTTTTGGGGAAGACCCTTCGAAAAACCAAGTCTCGGGGAAAACACCTTGCTGTAACATCCAGTCTCGGGAAGACACCTGCTACAAAAATTCAAGCCCCCAGGGAAGACACCTGCTGCAACATTCAAGTCTCGGGTAAACACCTTGCTGCAACATTTAAGTCTTGGTAAGACACTTTTCTGCAAAATCCAACTCAGTAAGAAACCTTGCTGCAACATTCAATCCGGTAAGACACCTAGCTGCAACCCAAATCTTGGGTAAGACACCTTTCTGCAACACCCAAATCGGTAAGATACCTTGCTGCAACATTCAATCTCAGTAAAACCCCGCAACATTCCAAATCTAGGGAAACACCTTTTCTGCAACACCAAGTTCGGTAAGACACATTGCGCAACATTCAAATCTCGGTAAGACACCTCGCTGCAACATCCAATTTCCCCTAAAAAACCTTGCTCAACATTCAAGTCTCAGAAGACACCTTGCCAACATTCAAATCTAGGGTAAGGCACCTTGCTGCAACTTTAAATCTCAGGGAAACATCCGCGCAAAATTCAAGTCTCGGGGAAACACCTTGCGTCCAGGAAAACATTGCGCAACTTCAATCCTTGTAAGACACCTTGCTGCAACATTTAAGTCTCGGGGAAGACACCTTGCTGCAAATTCAATCTCGTGTAAGACCCCCTTGCGCAAATTTAAATCTCGGGGAAAACCGCGCAACATTCAATCCGGTAAAACACCTTGCTGCAATATTCAAGTCCAGGGAAGACACCTTGCGCAACATTCAAGTCTCAGGTAAGACACCTTTTCCCAAAATTCAAGTCTCGGTAAACACCTCCTGCAACATCAAGTCTCGGGTAAGACCCTCGCGCAACATTCAAGTCCGGAAGACACCTTTTCTGCAAAATTCAAGTCTCGGTAAACACCTTGCTGCAACATTCAAATCTCGGGAAAAACACCTTCTGCAACTTCAAGCTCAGTAAGACACCTTCGCAACATTCAAGACTCAGGTAAGACACGTTCTGCAACATTCAAGACTCAGGTAAGACACGTTGGCAACATTCAAAAACTCAGGGGAAACACCTTCTGCAAATTCAGCTTTTGGGGGAATACCTTGCTGCAAAAGTCAAGACTCAGGAAAACACCCTTGATACAACATTCAAGTCCGTAAGACACCTTGCTGCACACCAAAACCATAAACACCTGCTGCAACATTTAATCTCGGGGAAACACCTTTTCTGCAATATTTAAATCTCGGGTAAACACCTTGCGAACATTAAACTCGGGGAAGACACCTTTTTTTCAACTTCAATCCAGGTAAGACACCTTGCTGCAACATTCAAGTCTCAGAAGACACCTTGCTCAACATTCAAATCTCGGGGAAGACATCTTGCGCAACATTTCAAAACCCGACACCTGCTTGTTTATCTATGATTTTATGCTTTTAATTCCTGGAAATCATTACTTTTCTTCTGAGCAATAATAATAAATAAATTATTTCAGTCAATCACTCAATAAGTCAGTCAGGTCACCTAATTGGTCCAAATCGCCAATAAACATCAAGTCATTTAGTAAGTCCCTCAGGGCCTCATAATCAGTCAAGTCATTCGTAAGCATCAAAACATTCAGAAAATCAAGTCATTCAAATCATCAAGTCTTCAATAATCATCATCATTTATAATCAGTCATTCAGAAGTCATCATTTAGTCTGTCACACAAACTCACGTTTTAAACCCCTTTTTTTTGTGTACAAAATTCACTTCATTTCCGCTACAGTTATCTCTTTCTAAAACTTTGTTAATTTTAAACTTTAAATCTTATACCTCTTGGGGGCCCCTTTCTCAACACTATTGGCTACTGGGTTTCCGATTGCTTGGCAATACAAATAAGTAAATAAAATATCAAACACAAATTGACAAAAAGCTGCCTTGTACCAAGAAAGACGAACACATGAATTAGGAATGCTGGGATGGTGGGGGGTGGGGGAGGGTAGGAGATGGTGGGGGGGGGTGTCGGGTGGTTGGAGGGCCCCCGGGGTTTTTCAACAAGGTGGAACTTTAGCAAAAAAAATTTTTTTTCCTTTCCCCAAACTGAACCCCTGTTTAAAATTTTTTACAACGTTTAAATAAAATTTTGCAGCAATTCTTCAATGCGTCTCCCGTATTTTATAAAACGAGAGCTTCAGTTTCCCTAAATTAAAAATAAAATAATAATAATTGAATTGACCAGTTACTTTTGCTGATGATACTGTGCTTTGGAATTCTAAAGAAAAATTGCAAAAGGTTAGTGGATGATTTTTAAAGTTTGGGAAAGGGAAAATTTTAAAGTGAACATAGAAAGAGTAAAGATGAGGGAAACAAAGTTTAATAAAGAAAAAATTTGGGTATCAAATTGGGGAGGAGAGTATGGAAGAAAGGGAAAGTTTTTAATACTTGGATTTTACGTGCGGCGATGGGTTTAGAAGGTAGGGTTTAAACAGAATTTAGAGGGAAAAAAGGGATGGTGCTTTAGGGAATGTAGTCAAAAAATGTTATCTATGGGGGGCAAAGAAGGGAATGTATAAAGTAAGTAGTACCATACTCTTATATGGAGGAACTTGGTGGTAAAAGCAGCAGCGAGGAGACGGTTTTAGGGAGTGGAGAGTCCCCGTCTAAGGGGAATGTGTGGGGTAAATATTACAGAAAATTCGGAGGTGGAAAATTTGGAAAAGGGTGATTAATAAAATATTATCGAGGGCGAAAAGGGGGTTTTTGGGGGTTTTTGGGCATTTTGAGAGAATGGATCAAAGTAGAATACTGGAAACTTAAATCAAGGGGAAGGAAAGGGGGAGGGGGCGTCCCGAAAGGGTTGGAAAGAGGGGGAAAAGGAGGTTTTGTGGGTGAGGGGTTTGGGACTTCCAGCAAGCGTGCATGAGCGGTTAGATAGGGGGTGAATGGAGATGAATGATACTTGGGACTGACAATCTGTTGGAGTGTGAGCAGGGTAATATTTAGTGAAGGATTCGGGGAACCGTTTATTTTCTTATAGCCCGGACTTGAGTCCGGAAATGGGAAGTAAAATGCCTGCACTTTTAAAGGAGGGGTTTGGGATATTGGCAGTTTTGAGGGATAATGTTGTGTATCTTTATACATATATGCTTCTAAAATGTTGTATTCTGAGCACCTCTGCAAAAGCATGATAATGTGTGAGTGTGGTGAAAGTGTTGAATGATGATGAAAGAAATTTTTTTTTTTGGGATTTTTTTCTTTTTTGGGTACCCTGCCTCGGTGGGAGAACAACCCAACTTGTTGAAAAAAAAAAAAAAAAAAAAAAAAAAAAATAATAATAATTTAAAAAATAATATAATACTACTACGCTACTAATATTATTATTATTATTATTATTATTATAATGATAGAGCTTCAGTTCCCTAAATTAATAACAACAATTTTTTTTTTTTTTTAACAAGTCGGCCGTCTCACACCGAGGCAGGGTGACCCAAAAAAGAAAGAAAATCCCCAAAAGAAAATACTTTTATCATCATTTAACACTTTCACCACACTCGCACATTATCACTGTTTTTGCAGAGGTGCTCAGAATACAACAGTTTAGAAGCATATATGTATAAAGATACACAACATATCCCTCCAAACTGCCAATATCCCAAACCCCTCCTTTAAAGTGCAGGCATTGTACTTCCCATTTCCAGGACTCAAGTCCGACTATATGAAAATAACCGGTTTCCCTGAATCCCTTCACTAAATATTACCCTGCTCACACTCCATTATTATTATTATTATTATTATTATTATTATTATCATATAATTTTCTCAGTTGTTTGTTGGGTTATCTTATTCAAACTTGGGCAATGTATGCTGGAAAGACACTTCTTCACGTACACCAAAAATGAAAGAAATCAGACCATAAATAGCGGAGTTCACTTCTCAGCCATTAGCGGCCGCTTAGCGGTATATTTTTGTATGGTTGTTATGGTTATATTCTCATTTTTTCGGTCTCATTTGATAGAATGAAATATATATTACAGAAATAGATATGACTTTCATTGCTTTCATGATGAAAAGTACCTTGAAATTGCGCTCACAGTAGCGAAAATGTTCTATTCTTTAGCGAAGCTCAAGAGTAAACAAATGACATCACTGTCCAATACCTGTCCGCCTGCCAGTCCAATATGAAGTCAAGAATGGCTTGACATTATTTATACAATTATTACAATAATGCAGCAGTCTGCATAACAGTAAATCTTCTATTTTTTTTTTGTGAATAAAAATTTCAAATGAAAAGCAAGAGTAATATAAGAGGGGCTGTAGCAGTGACTAATGAACAGAGAAAATTTTATTTTAGTGCCAGGAATGTCTGCATTGTTTATTCTGGACCCTATTTTGAAATTGGCATCTGTTAAAATTTGTGTGAAATCGGCCAAATTGCCAATTTCTGACCACTTATTGGGTAGTTGAAATAAGTGAATGGGTGGTTTCTTGTACTCGGTTGACAGACTAGAAGTAAATAAGCTTATTCAGGTTCCTGACCAGCCGAAGGCGGTTCCTGACCAGCCGGGCTGTGGCTCGTACGTTGGTTTGCGTGCAGCCAACAGTAACAGCCTGGTTGATCAGGCTCTGATCCACCAGGAGGCCGGGTCACAGACCAGGCCGCGGGGGCGTTGACCCCCGGAACCCTCTCCAGGTAAACTCCAGGTATACACAAATACAGTTACATAGATTATCATACATATCAGTGTATGTATAGAGAACCTAGGATAACCCAGAAAAGTCAGACAAAGTGACTTATTTCCAGTACCTGGCTTGGGCTTGCCATATATGATTTTTGGTAAATATTTTTTTTTTCCTGGTTGTTTGTTGGGCTATCTCATTGAAACTTGGGCAATGTATGATGGAAAGATGCTTCTTAACGTGCAGCAAAAATAAAAAAGACAGACGATAAATAAGGGAGTTAACTTCTCAGCCATTAGTCGCCTCTTTGCAGTATATTTTCGTATGGTTTTTATGGCTGTATTCTCATTTTTTGGACTCATTTGATAGAATGGAAGATATTACAGAGATAGACATGATTTGATTGCTTTGATGACGAAAAGAAACCTTGAAATTGAGCTCAAGTAGCGGAAATGTTTGATTTTTGCCGATGTTCAATGAACTGTGTAAGTTGGTTTATTTTATTAAGTGTATTCTAACCTAACCACTCTGTAATCTGGCAAACTCAGTAATCCCGCACACTACAAGTCCCAATGATGCCGGATTTGTGATGGAGGACCTGTATTATTAATTTAGGGAACTGAAGCTCTATCTTTATTAATAATAATAATAGAGTAGTATATTATTATTATTATTATTATTATTATTATTATTATATTAATTTGTTGTTGTGACTTCCAGCAAGCGTGCGTGAGCGTCTTAGATAGGAGTGAATGGAGACGAATGGTACTTGGGAACCTGACGATCTGTTGGAGTGTGAGCAGGGTAATATTTAGTGAAGGGATTCAGGGAAACCGGTTTTTTCATATAGTCGGACTTGAGTCCTTTGGGAAAAGGGAAGTACAATGCCTGCACTTTAAAGGAGGGGTTTGGGATATTTGGCAGTTTGGAGGGATATGTTGTGTATCTTTATACATAATGCTTCTAAACTGTTGTATCTGAGCACCTCTGCAAAAACAGTGATAATGTGCGAGTGTGGTGAAAGTGTTGAATGATGATGAAAGTATTTTCTTTTGGGGGATTTTCTTTCTTTTTTTGGGTCACCCTGCCTCGGTGTGGACGGCCGACTTTTTAAAAAAAAAAAAAAAAATTGTTGTATTAATTTAGGGAACTGAAGCTCTATCATTATAATATAATAAATAATAATAATAATATTAGTAGCATATAGTATATTATTTATTATTATTATATATTATTATTTTATTTTTTTTTTTTTTTTTTTTTTTTTCAACAAGTTGGTCGTCTCCCACCGAGGCAGGGTGACCCAAAAAAGAAAGAAAATCCCCAAAAAGAAAATACTTTCATCATCATTCAACACTTTCACCACACTCACACATTATCACTGCTTTTGCAGAGGTGCTCAGAATACAACAGTTTAGAAGCATATATGTATAAAGATACACAACATATCCCTCCAAACTGCCAATATCCCAAACCCCTCCTTTAAAGTGCAGGCATTTTACTTCCCATTTCCAGGACTCAAGTCCGACTATATGAAAATAACCGGTTTCCCTGAATCCCTTCACTAAATATTACCCTGCTCACACTCCAACAGATCGTCAGGTCCCAAGTACCATTCGTCTCCATTCACTCCTATCTAAGACGCTCACGCACGCTTGCTGGAAGTCACAACAACAATATTAATAATAAAATAATAATAATAATAATAATAATAATAATAATAATACTACTACTATTATTATTATTAATAAAGATAGAGCTTCAGTTCCCTAAATTAATAATACAGGTCCTCCATCACAAATCCGGCATCATTGGGACTTGTAGTGTGCGGGATTACTGAGTTTGCCAGATTACAGAGTGGTTAGGTTAGAATACACTTAATAAAATAAACCAACTTACACAGTTCATTGAACATCGGCAAAAATCAAACATTTCCGCTACTTTGAGCTCAATTTCAAGGTACTTTTCGTCATCAAAGCAATCAAAATCATGTCTATCTCTGTAATATATCTTCCATTCTATCAAATGAGTCCAAAAAATGAGAATACAGCCATAAAAACCATACGAAAATATACTGCAAAGAGGCGACTAATGGCTGAGAAGTTAACTCCCTTATTTATCGTCTGTCTTTTTTATTTTTGCTGCACGTTAAGAAGCATCTTTCCATCATACATTGCCCAAGTTTCAATGAGATAGCCCAACAAACAACCAGGAAAAAAAAAATATTTACCAAAAATCCAAATATGGCAGCCCAAGCCAGGTACTGGAAAAAGTCGCCATTGTCTGACCTTTTCTGGGTTACCTAGTTCTCTAACATATACACTATATGTATGATAATCTATGAACTGTATTTGTGTATACCTGAGTTACCTGGAGAGGGTTCCGGGTCAACGTCCACCCCCGCGCCTGGTCTGTGACCCGGCCTCCCTGGTGGATCAGAGCCTATCAACCAGGTGTTATGTTGCTGCACGCAAACCAACGTCCGAGCCACAGCCCGGCTGTCAGGAACCGCCTTCGGCTTGGTCAGGAACCTGAATAGCTTATTTACTTCTGTCTGTCTACGAGTACAAGAAACACCATTCACTTATTCAACTACCCTATAAGTGGTCAGATATTGCATTTGCCGATTCACACAAAATTTTAACAGATGCCAATTTCAAAATAGGGTCCATAATAAACAATGCAGACATCCTGGCCTAAAATAAAATTTTCTTCTGTTCAATTAGTCACTGCTACAGCCCCTCTTATATAACTTCTTGCCTTTTCATTTGAAATTTTTTATTCACAAAAAAAAAAAATAGAAGATTTTACTGTTATGCAGACTGCTGCCATTATAGTAATAATTGTATAAATAATGTTCAAGCCATTCTTGACTTCATATTGACTGGCAGGCGGCAGGTAAAGGACAGTGATGTCATTTTGTTTACTCTTGACTTCGCTAAAGACTAGAACCTTTTCGCTACTTGAGCGCAATTTAAACAAGTACTTTCTCATGAAAGCCATGAAAGTCATATCTATTTCTGAAATATATATTTCCATTCTATCAAATGAACCGAAAAAAATGAGATATAACCATAACACCATACAACAATATAACCCCCGCTAAGCGCGCTATGGTCTAGAATTGAACTCCGATATTTATGGTCTGATTTCTTTCATTTTTGGTGTACGTGAAGAAGTGTCTTTCCAGCATACATTGCCCAAGTTTGAATAAGATAACCCAACAAACAACTGAGAAAATTATATGATAATAATAATAATAATAATAATAATAATAATAATAATGGAGTGTGAGCAGGGTAATATTTAGTGAAGGGATTCAGGGAAACCGGTTATTTTCATATAGTCGGACTTGAGTCCTGGAAATGGGAAGTACAATGCCTGCACTTTAAAGGAGGGTTTTGGGATACTGGCAGGTTGGAGGGATATGTTGTGTATCTTTATATGTGTATGCTTCTAAACTGTTGTATTCTGAGCACCTCTGCAAAAACAGTGATAATGTGTGAGTGTGGTGAAAGTGTTGAATGATGATGAAAGTATTTTCTTTTTGGGGATTTTCTTTCTTTTTTGGGTCACCCTGCCTCGGTGGGAGACGGCCGATTTGTCGGAAAAAAAAAAATAATAATAATATCTTTATTTACTATATGTACAAGGTATACAGGCCTAGCTGACATCAGTGACATACTACTGTATAAAAAGCCACTTGTTATGCAGAGTATTTCAAGAAAACTAGGTCAGTGTCCCAGGATAACACCCACACTAGTCGGCTAACACCCAGGTACCCATTCACTGATGGGTAAACATAGACAACAGCTGTAAAGAAACACGCCTAATGTTTCTACCCTGGCTGGGAATCGATTATTTACCAAAAATCATATACAGTGGACCCTCGACCAATGTTGGCATCGTTAAACGTTAAATCTGACTAGCGATACATTTTAATGCAAAAATTTTGCCTCAACTAGCACAAAAAAACCCGACCAACGCTATTCGTTCCATTCGAGACGCGTCCACTTATGGCCTGAGCGCGCCTCACTTGTCCCGTGGGTGCCAGTGTTTACAAGCCAGCCAGCCAGCCAGCCACAGCGGTCCCATCCAAACACACAATCGGAACATTTCATATTATCACAGCATTTGTAGTGACTGCACCTGCAAAATAAATCACCATGGGCCCCAAGAAAGCTTCTAGTGCCAACCCTACAGCAAAAAGGGTGAGAATTACTATGGATATGAAGAAAGAGATCATTGCTAAGTATGAAAGTGGAATGCGTGTCTCCGAGCTGGCCAGGTTGTACACAAAACCCCAATCAACCATTGCTACTATTGTGGGCAAGAAAACGGCAATCAAGGAAGCTGTTCTTGCCAAAGGTGCAACTATGTTTTCGAAACTGAGATCGCAAGTGATAAAAGATGTTGAGAGACTGTTATTAGTGTGGATAAACGAAAAACAAGTTAAGTTAACAAGTTAAGAAAGCCTAGAGAACAAATGGATTTGTCAGTTAAAAATAGGAGAGGAGAGTTATTAAATGGAGAG